TTCCTCTGTCCCTCTCGGAGAGCCGGCAAGCTACCGAAAGTATCTCGCCCACACAGCAAAGCCTGGCAAGCTCCCCGTGACGTATTCAATATGCCAAACACAGTAATAACAAGTCTCACAATAGAGATGTTACTGGGCCCGGTCGAGCAAATCGATGAACAACGGGTGGACAGTGACAGTTATATATATATATATATATAAAGAATTTTGGTACAGATGAAATATTAGCAAGGGCAAGACAAGTGTGTCTTGTACACATTTGATCCCCCAGCACCACATATGGTCCGTTGGACCCAGGGCCAGGAGTTAGCAGAGCTAACTGGAGCACAGTTGGATGTGGACCAATTCAACCCCCAACCCCAATATAATATGCTTCCACATATAATTTATTATCCCAGATTTGATTTAATAAACCAATCTTTGAAGGATCAGGGGTGGAAACAGGGGACTGAAGGAAGATAGTTTTTCAAAGAACATTGTAATGAGTGTATAAGAAAAAAAAGCATAATAAACACATCATGGCTATCAACAAATGGGTGTTGATTCTTGGCTGAAAGATAGGCACAGAGGACAAAATAAATAAAAGTGAGTCGATTGTGATGTTCTGGAACATGGAGACTGAATTTGATCCTTATAAAAAGAAATCAAATAAAATGATCATATGGGGCTTTTCTATACTACAAACTACCAGACCATGAATGCAAACTTCTCACAAGAAGAAAAACATTGTAGACATATCTTTCTTTTTCTCCGTTAGATGAAAATGAATAATAATTCTATAATTTCCCCCAAGGAGATGCTGGAAACCTAGACATGATTCATGGACCATACAGTTTTTTTTTTTAACTCTTGGCTCCCGTAGTTCACTTGGTTATAATGTCTTTGGTAGTTTGAAAAAGTTCCCTTGTTTCATCCTAAAAGTCACAACTCAAGAGTTCCAAAATGCAGGTCACTGTCACTGTCCTCTTGTTGTTCATCAATTTGCTCAAGCGGGCCCAGTACATCTCCATTGTGACAATTGTTACTGTGTTTGACATATCGAATACATCACAGGTAGCTTGCCAGGCTTTGCCGTGCAGGTGAGATACACTTGGAAGCTTGCCAGGATCTCCAAGAGGTGCGAAGGAATCGAACTCGGGTCAGATATGTTGACTGCGTGCAAGGCAAATGCCCTTCCCGCTGTGCTATCGCTCCAAAATGCAGGTGTTTTCTTTAAACCTAATTCTTTGTCTCATTGCTTCTCATCTTTCTTCTATTTGTTGAATACAGCATAGGGCTTATACTGTCTTGGCTGAGTAATCCCTTACTGGAAGACTTTGGACAAATCACTCAACTTCTTTGCAACTTTTTCCTCCTCTCTAAATAGGTGATTTTTACAGGACTTTATTCATTGTGATTCAATATGTCCAAAGCAGTTCAACAGAATCCGGTGGTACCAGCTATTATCAGGAATCACTGTTACCATAGGTCATTTTTAGTCATAAGTCAACAGAAAAGCAAACATTCTGCTAGTTTTGGGGGCTGCACACTTCCTGTGATCAGGACAACCTGATCAGGACAATCAGGACAATCTCTTAGTCTCAGAGATACATCTTAAATACATTTCCCCTGATTTTGTGACCAAGGCAATGACTTTGGAAGCAGATTCCTGGATGGGATTTATTAGCTCCCATTTATTGTCTTTGTAACCTTGCAGGAGACACTTAATTTCGCTGAGCCTGTTTCCTCATCTGGAAAATGAGAATGAATAAAATCTCCTTCCAAGATGTGGTCTGACTATTAAACAAGACAAAATATGCATATTTCCTGGCACACACTTCAACCTAAAGGTACATCCTCCATCCCCCACAATCCCATGGCTGCATCTGAGCCTGAACAACCCCACTCTGGGTTTAGCAACCGGGGTCTTCTCCTGAAACACCAGCCAGGAGACCAGGTAGGAAGTTTAGGCTCAAACTCCACGTTTGGAAGGGCAAAAGCAAGGAAGGGATGGAGGGGTGATGATGGGAGGGAGGGCAGGGAGGCCGCCCCCAGACTACATCTCCCGGGATGCTCAGCGAGAGGGAGCGCCCTGCCCCGCCCCTCCCCGCCCCGCCCCACCGGCACGACGGGCGCTGCCCACCCGGCGAAGCGAGCGGCGCGCCAGGCTACAAGTGCCAGGATCGGCGATCGGGGCACTTTTCCGAGGAGCGGAGCCCGGACCTACGCACCCCAGCGGGGGTCGCAGCTGCCGGTGAGTGGGGAAGAGCTGCAGCCGGGATGCGGCGCTGGGACTAGGGAGAGCGCCCGGGAGCCCGGGGAGCTGGGACGCGAGCCTGTACTCCCTGTCCGAGGTGCGGGCTGCGCCGCGAGGTGCCGGGAGGACACAGTCCCGACTCCCGATGCGTCTTCGGGCGAGCGCCGGAGTTGCACCCCGTCATGCCCGGGCTCATCCCGCAGCGCCGCCGGGAGCACCAGTGCCCCGTGCCCACCCGGGGACCGCGCGCGCCCCGGACGCATCCCGAGCTCGCCCCCCCCAGACCTGCCTCGCCCGGGTCACTTACTTCCCCTGCAAAAATTAAAAGAATTCTCCCGATGGACGGCGGTAGGGGAAAGTGCTCACCCTCCGCTGCTTCGCTCGAGGTGCCTTCCCGGGCGAGAGCGGAGTGGGAGAGGAGGGAAGAAAAGAGCCTTTGCAACAGTCCCCCGGGGTTATCCATTCTCTGGAGGATGGAAGCCCCGGATTAGAGAACTGCTAAAGGAAATCGACTGCGCAGCTAATAGAAGCCCAGAAGCCAGTCTGAGAGAGAGAAGCCTGGAGAAGGGGTGGAAGTGGAACCCTCCCATCCCCTTTGTTTTAAATCCTGGGTCCTACAGGGGACTGCCAGATTCTACCCAAAGTAGTCCGGAATGATGAGTTAACTGTGCCAGAGGCTAATCCGAGCTCCTGAAGTCTGAGGCAGCGGAGACTTTCTCCTTTCAGTCATTAATGAACCCCGGTGCCAACGTTGCGTTCATTGATGGATCCTGCAGCAAGGCGGGGGCGGCTGGGAGGCGGGGTGTCCTGCCCACTTGCTCAAGGAAGGCTCTCGACTCTCCTTCAACGCTGCTTTCTCTGCTGCACGACTGGGGATGCTTTGTGATTTGTTTGGTTTTGTTTGGTTTTGTTTTGAAGTCAGTTGATAGGTGGAGGTTAGGCGAGTTTGTTCTTTGCCTGTTCTAGGGTGGGGGTTTCCAGCGGCTGGAGCTGGGTGTTATGGACAGTAAGTCCCAAAGCTTGTCTTTGGTGGAGTCTATCCATCATTGCTTTAAACCACGGGGATAATAAAAAAGGGGGGGAGTCTGGAACATGGTGATACTGAGAGCGGTTTCTCACCCCCCCCCCCAAAAGATGACAGTCGGGAGAGAGGGGCATGAATGAATGGCTCCACCCAGAGTTCTGCCCCAGGACGTCTCCCAGCTGCAGCTGGAGTGAGGTGCCACTTCTCATCTTGCACACAAAGATCTAGGGGTGCAGAGAACCAGGGGTGCAGCCTGAGCCATAGTGCAATAGGCAGGGTGCTTACCTTGAGCTCTGGTCAATGCTGTGGACTGGACAGCAGGAGGCCTACCTGGTGACCAGGCAGACACAGTTGTCACCCAAGTTGTTTTTCAAGTTGTCACTTGAACTCTGTGACCCCGGTTTCGAACCCCAGGACCAAATATGTTTCTCTGAGCCAGGAGTAAGGCCTGAGTACCTCAGGATGGCCCACCCTGTATCATCCTTCCTCACACCCCAATACAAAATCACCCCCCCAAAAGTTTCAGAGATAACCTTGAAAACAGTTTGTCACCTGTTTTGCTGTGGGTTTATAATGGGTTCTTTATTATTATTGGTTACTTCGATAGCACAGTGGTAGGGTGTTCGCCTTACAAGCGGCCAACTTTGCCGACCCGAGTTCGATTCCTCCGCCCCTCTCATAGAGCCTGGCAAGCTACCGAGAGTATTCGATATGCCAGACACAGTAACAACAAAGTCTCCAATGGAGACGTTACTGGGCCCGCTCGAGCAAATCGACGATCAACGGGAGGGCCTTTTTTTACTTCTGGATTAGGTCTGTTACAGGTTGTAGATGGCCAGTTGCTTGTGCAGCAAAACATAGGAAGAGAGAGGAAGTCAGACAAGGGGAGTGTGGGGGTGTGGGGCGAAGGAGGGGGGGCAAAGAGCTAGCCTGAACTGCAAGTTACTCTGGTTTCTGTTTTGACCCTGGAGGTGTGGGCTGGCCCTGGGTGCTTTTTAGGGGTCACACAGTGAGGTGTGCTGGCTCCAGATCATGCATGTAGCCTGGAGCGTTGAGGGGATGGGCTGAGAATACGAACACAATGAGCAACCAGAGGGCATTGTACATGGAGGGTTGGGTGACAAGGGTCACAGCATGGGCAAAATTCAGGGCTAGGAGAGGCCGAGTAATCTGGCCACCTTTTGCCTCCTTCAGTTTAACTAGTCCAGATGTGCAGCCGTTTAGTCAAGTGTGCTGCTAGGGGCCCTGGCTGTTCATTCACCCCTAGTGAGGCACTGAAGCCACTCCCCGCCAGGGAGAGTACAAACACTTTCAGCTAAGTGCAATGTTAGCAAGTCTGTGCTTCCTCAGGTTCTCCAGAAATTCAGCAGCTCTGCTAAAAAAGGTCCCTGACTTTCTCATTTGTGTCTCTGTGCAGGAAACTTGCCTTCTCATTTGAGGAATCCTGCCACAAAAATGTGTGAGGCCTTGGATAAATTTGGCCTGGTGACGGCAGAGCTTCCTTCAGAGACGCTGCTGCTTGCTCTGTGCCCAGCTCTGCCCTGACCTTAGGCTCTGGGTGTCAGCACCCGTGAGGACTCAGAGATCCTCCCCTTTTCCACACAGCAAGCAGCCAACAGCTTTCTTCTACTTTCCTTGGGTTCAGGAGAAACCGGGCAAAGGTGTCAACCATTGTGGCTACAGTGGAGATGGGTACCACAGGAGCAAAACTCCTGGTGACCCCAGCTCTGATTGGCTTCTAATCTGTGCGCTCCTGGCTGAATTTCTGGAAGGTGCTGGGGCTATCTGACGAGCTTCGATGGAGCTGCAGTACCTTACTAAGAAAGACAGCGAGATGGCACTGGTCAACGCTGTGGACTGGACAGCAGGAGGACTACCTGGTGACCAGGCAGACGCCGTTGCCAGCCAAGCTGCTTTCTGCTGCCAGAGACACTGTCCGTCCACCCTTAGAGCAGCTGAGATGGAAGAGTGTAAAATTGCTCCTTCTCCAGCTGCCCCCTTTTCCTCTCTCCAAGGTACCCTTCCTTCTCCATCCGGCTTCGCACCAGACCCGCTTAACTCAGGAAATGCCCAGATCGCGGCAGAACGTAAAGTCTGCGACTGCTGCAGCCAGGAACTGGAAACTTCTTTCTCCTACGTGGATGAGAACGTCAACTTGGAACAGAGGAACTGCTCTCCTTCCTCCAAGGGGAGCCATCAGCCGGGAGATGCCGGCTGGGGAGATTCAAGCGAGTGGTCCCAGGAAGCGGCTATGTCCTTAATATCGGAAGATGAAGATGACACAAGTTCAGAAGCCACGTCCGCAGGCAGGTCAGTGGACTATGGCTTCATCAGTGCCATCTTGTTCCTGGTCACTGGCATCTTGCTGGTGATCATCTCGTACGTGGTGCCCCGGGAAGTGACGGTCGACCCCAACAGCGTGGCAGCTCGGGAGATGGAGCGCCTGGAGAAAGAGAGCGCCAGGCTGGGGGCGCACCTGGACCGCTGCGTGATCGCCGGACTCTGCCTTCTCACACTTGGGGGTGTCGTGCTGTCGTGTTTGCTGATGATGTCTATGTGGAAGGGGGAGCTTTATCGGAGGCACAGGTTTGCCTCCTCCAAGGAGTCTGCAAAACTCTATGGTTCTTTCAACTTCAGGATGAAAACCAGCGCGAATGAAAACACCCTGGAACTGTCCTTGGTAGAGGAAGATGCTCTGGTCCAGAGTTAAATCTGCTCGTGTGCTTCTTCAGAAGGCTTTGCCTTGGAATTTTGTATAGAAAAGGTGAACACACACAAAAGAGAAAAAAAAATTTCATAAAATTACCAGTGCAGTTTATTTGCCTGGCAAGAAAAGCTTATTTCCCAAACCAACTGTCAGCAAGTGTATTTGTTCTCTGTTCTCTCAGTGTTTTTTATTTAGAAGAAAATACATTGAGATGCATTGAGAAACCACAACCAGCCACACCTATCCTTCCCAAAACCTGAGACTAATTCATCTGCACTAGCTCTCAGCTTCTTGGAAAAATGTTTCTAATGATCTGGCAAACAAATGATTTCTTTTAAAATATATATGGTATTCTTTGACACATGGAATATTGTCCTAAACAGAGTACGTTCAATTAGAAATCTATTTTTTGAAAAGAACTCAAGGACTAATCACATTCTGAGGCTTATGTTGAATTCTCAAAGGGCATTATCTGTTTGCTTGCTAATTTTTTTTCTCCTTGTATTTGGACCAAACATTTAAAAATTTAGGTCTTTCAAGTTTGGATATTCTGAAGCTCAAGTTATTTAAAAAACCTATAAAAACATTCATCAACTTTAAAATTATTCCTGCACTCGACAGTGGAAACTAAATCATATAATGAACAGACTAGTAAAAGAAAGTAGTCTAAAGGTGCCCTCTGAATTTAGTCCACAGCAGTATTTTGAAGTACTAATATCACTCACATATTTTCTAAAGTTATACTAGTTGCTGCTGGGAATTTTGTTTTGTGTTTGTGACTTAGCCATCACTCTGACTACCCATACTCTGTAAGTCTTTTCTGGTTCTCATACCAGAAAGGCAAAGTGTAAAATCTTCTGTAGATTTCCAGAGAGCTAAATATCTAGCACATTTGAGTCATGCTAGCTCAAGCATAACATTTTGTTGTTATATGGAGAAAATCTCAAAGAAATTCCCAGTTACTCTCTTGGGGACTATGCTTGGAAGGCTATAGTATACTTGCTGTAAGTCAAGTAACAGTAGACCCTCAGGATGGTGGCCATATAGAAACCCACAGGCAACAAATTTAAAATTGCATCAAAGTGAAAAGCACTGATTTTATGGGAAATACACTCAAGTTCCCAATGGCAGCTGTCCAGGCAGCATTCTGAGTGCCTTGGTTATGGCCTCAGGAAATGTGAGCTCTCTATTGTAAAGCTTAATACATGCTCCATGAGAGTAGCGATGGCAAAGTGATCACCAGTTTTCGAAAACACCAGTAAACACCCAGTGTCCATACAAACATTTGATGATTCAGAAAGGGATTGGGGAATGCAGCCTCAGAGACATATATATAAGAATTTTTATTAGGATGTTGCCAATCCCCTGCTTCAAGAGTTGTTTTAACCTCTATTACTGTTATCAGGAGTCTTAAAAGAGTTTGAAGTAGGGAACTGGGGATGGAGGGTGGGAAAGTAAGAAGGTGACATATTTGATAGATTGTGAAATCCAGATTCTAGTATCTGAAGTGTTACTGTTATTGAGAATTGTGGAATTTTCAAGTGACTTTGGCCGTGTGGAGTCAGAGTTTCTATGTGAATGAGATTTTGTGGGTGTCATATTGGTTTCATAAGTTAGGTGAGCAGTGTTACTAAGGTTAAGATGAAGTGCAGAAAGGGAGGATCATGTAATAGTGGAAATAAAGCAGGCATGTATGTGAAAGAATTATTAAGTAAAGATGAGACATCACAGACATCACAGGGACATCAGAGGCATGAAATATAGCTCAGTTACCTTGTAGATTAGATTAAGATTGATTCAGAAAGAATTGGGACAGTGTAAGCATGACTTGTCTTTTTGTTGGTGGTTATTTGTGCTTTTTTAGAACAAAACTCTTGTTTCACTGACAGTCAAATGGTATGTACAACAAACCTGTTATGTGAATTTCATAATCTGAAATTTTATCAATTTTCAGGTTCAAGCCTACTTGAGGATCCTGTTTGGATGATTTTAATGAAGTGGTTTTCACATTTTTTTATACTTGTGAACCAGTGAAAATAGGGCAACTATTTATTAGATTGCTAAGACAAGAAATAGAAACTATTATTTATAACAGTATTTTTCAAATTAGATCTTAGATGTAATATAAACTAAAAATTGGATCCAGGAATGCCTTATGGTAAAGAGCATTAGTTTTTTGTGTACCAGGAGGAAATTTCTGTGGACTGTCAGTAGTTCATTGACCAGTGACAAAAATATCACTCATTTAAACAAGACAGACACACACACACAGTCATAGAAATACTGGCTTGTTTTTATACCACTTAGTAAAATAAGATATTCATTCATATTTTAGGGAAAAAAGATATTCATAGGGAAAAAAATTAACAAGTGAGAATACATTTGCTTTTTACCCCTAAGATTCAAAAATCGAATGTAGTAGGTAAATATTTTACCGTTATTTTAATCTGTTCATTTCTAGAGCACATCACTTTTGAGGTTCCCCATCTGATTGGCAGATAAGTAGGAATCACAGAAAATCTCAGAAAATCCTGGAGATGTCTCCTTTAAGGCTGTAGATAACGGCCATCATCAACTTCCTGCAGGTATTCAGGCTCTTGTCCATCATATATTCATATGAAAATTACTTAAACTTAAAGTTAGGGTAACACAGTCAAAGAAAACCCTGAACTTCAAACACTTTTGTTATCTGCTGGGTGATGAGGTTTTGTGGACCCTAGATTTATTGAGAAGTGCTTTGGGAAGACCAGGTGATAATGCTGCAGACACTGAGCCGATGATAGCTGGGTCAGTCATGGACCCTTCAGGGAGAGTTATGGTTTGGCTTTTATCTCTTCAACATAGTCCTGGAAGTTATCTATGAAATTTTTGTCACTAGACATGGAGAAAACAAAACTTTACAGAAGCGAGCAATTTAAGGCTGTAGCTTTAGTTAATGGATTTAAAAAAAAATACCTCTGAAATCGCCTTCCCTACCTAAAATAGTGGTTCATTGTTCAGCCATGTGGCCCAAAAGTGTAACAAAAGCAAATTTGCCTTTCTTTCTTTTAACGGGGATCTACATGCTGCCAAAGGACAGTTTATCCCTCTTCATGTCAATGCACTTCTTTGTAGGAGATTCTGTTATTGTTTAGAAATGTCCCTGAGGCTGTTTGTCAGGGTTGAATTATTTTTTTTTGTAGTGATGCTGTCCTTCCCAGCCATCTGAAGTTCCTGCAGCAGACCATGGTTTAGGATGTTCTGGATCCTTCAAAGGGGGATATCTTTTCCCCAGGCTCACCATTTCATAACTGACATACTGTTTAGAGGAGTAGCAAATGCTTTGGCATGTGAATCTTCTGGTGGCTGTGACTGCTTAGATAAGTCTCTTGGTTCTCTAACATTGATGTTTGCTTTTGGAGCAAGATGATGTATTTTGCTGTCTCCTTAGAATAATATCTACCCTACCATGATCATATTTTGGGAGCCAAACTGGACCACTGCTGAACCTTTTCATGAAAGGACAATTTAGAAAAGAGACTGACTTCCAAGTTTCATTTATATTTTCCCTATGTCCGTTTATAAGGACATGTGATGACTGAGCACCATGCCAATTGACTATCGAGATTTAAGGGTATGACATTAGTTCTATTTGGGGCTACTTCTTAATGACAGGCAAAAATGTAAACAAGAACTTTTTTAGCGGGAAGGGTATCTGGGTCACTTCTGGTGCTTCTCAGAGTTTACTCCTTGCCTCTAGTGTCAGAAATCATTTTTGGCAGGTCTCAGATGATCATATATGGTGAATCAGGGTCAGTTGCATGTAAGGCAGACATTTAAATGACCAGGTGTGCTTGAACTTGGGTCAGTTGCGTGCAAGGCAAGCACCCTGCCTGCTTTACTATTTTTCTGACCCCAAGCAAGAACATTTGGATAGTTCTGTCTTTATTTTCACCTGTCCACTGACAGAATTTGCTTAAGTAGGCAACGTTAAAAACAGAAATATTCCATATATTTATTTGGGTTTTTTTTCAATCTAAAGGTCAGATTCTATTGCAGCCATAACTTCTACACACAAAATGTGTCTGATGAAATTCACAACTTTTATCTGTTCAATAAAATTTAGGAACATTGACTAGTTTCTGCAATAGAAAAAATAATAAGATGGATCCTTACGGTACTTTATAACTCTGTAATAGGGCTTAATCTTTCACAGAATTGGTCACAAAGTATAACTGCAGTAGAAATTATATTGACGTTTCCCTGGAATTTTGTAATATAAAAGGTTTTATAACAAAGAGAATGAATGGCTGGTTCTCTTTCATCTGGTTTCCTTGCTATCATTTTGTAGACCATAGTTGACTCTCCTTATATAGTCTCCTTATATAGAGAATTATATATATATATATATATATGGATCAAATATATTCTCTCCTCCCAAATTTTATTGGGCATAGAACTTGGGAAATAATTTGCCTGACTTAGGTTATGTATCAATAACTGTAAAAAGTAAGTTGTATTTGGAATATGTGACATTATATTTGAAAATCCACGGCGTTCATGTAAGAGGGTGCCTACAGCTTTATATTTGTTTATGTGAAAGTTTATGTACACTCAAGTCTATGTATGTATTAGGAGAATATGATTACAGAACTGTAATATTCAAAGTTGTTGTAAGGACAGTTTTCATATAGAACACTTGGCATGCCTTAATGTGAACTGTTAAGGACAAGTGAGTCTTTGACAGGTCATGAATGAAGAATTCAGAATCAACCTCTGAATGAAATGCCATAATAAAGTTACTCTATTTTGGTTGTGTGGCATCCCACAAATATTTGATTTTTTTAACCTCTTATTTCAGGCTCATAAGAGTGTTGCATCTTTGGAACTTGTTTTATTATGAATTACTATTTCAGGGAAATCTGGACAGCTGAGTGTTTCTCTTTGCTTCAAGTTTTAGTAATCTGATTGCATTTTTAGGGCCTGCTAGCTTTCTTCTTTACCCTTTGTCATACCCATGAATTTTTAGCTAGGCTCTGATGAAATAATTACATACGAAGGCAAAGATGAATGCTTATTTATAGTGTACTGAGAGTTTTTATTTTGTGGTTCTTCTTGTAATTTTAATTCTACTTATTTTATCAAACAAGAAAAATATTTTGATGTTGATATGTGTTATTTTTTACATCATAAAAGGCAAGATTATGGTCTTTTTATTAGGGCTGTTGATGCCTTATATATTAGTAGCAAGTGTGTAATATTTAAAAATAAAACTATTTATTAAGATGTTTTATTGTCTATGTTAACTTTTATTGCAGCTTATCTATCTGTGATGCTGATTTTATATATCAATGCCTAAGATTTAGTTCATGAAAATCATGTGTTGTTCTACTAAACTACATCTCCAGCCCTCAATTTTTTAAATTATATTTCAAATTATCCAATATAATATCTGAGTATATCTGCCTTCAGTTAAAATATGAATATTACTGCATCATTGAACAACATAAACTGTATTTCACTTTTTTATTTTGTATGAGGTAGTCAGAACAATTTATTTTCTCTAAATTACTCAGTATTAAGTGTGGATTACACATACATAAAAATATAGGACATATCTTTGAAGACACTACCTAAATTATCTGGAACACTTTTAGGTGAGGACCAAGTATTGAATTCTCCTGTATACCCTTGCACTTAAAAACCTCCCTTATTGAATTTTGATTTTCATTTTACTATGAGGTACATCATAAATTATATTTTTAAGTGGAACTTTACCCTTATTACCTCTAACTGTTAGCAAGGTTGAGAATTCTAAAGAGAAAATTTGAAGTGGCTCTCCATATATTTATTGCTCAATTTAACTTAAAACCAAAAATTAGATTTAGATTTTGTCTACTGTAAAAGGAGGAAAAAGATCAAGTCTTTTTTTTATGAATATCTATTTTATATTTTTTTACTTGAAGACCCCATTGGATTGGTAGAGGATTGTTAACCACCTTCAATCATTCAGAATATGCTACAATTCAACATAATGTTAATTTTACAGTCTTGCTACCTATCCTTTACAGGTGAACACTCTCAGAACCCAGACTGATGCAGCTCCCTCTGCAAATGCTGATTGTTACTAGACTTGAGTCAGTCTAATGTCAGTCTAAGGTTCAGCATCCCTCAAAGTGAACTAGACCATACTGTAGTCCCAAGTTTCTACAATCCAACAGGAAGTACTGTCCCATCACCTTCCCTGAAAGGGGGCAAGAACTTTTTGTCACAGGGCGATGCTTTCTGAGGTCTCTGTGTTGTTAAATCAATTGATGTATCTGTCAATGAACAAAAATGTCTCACACTCTCTAATGACCGCTTGATCAAAGTGCTTCTAACACCTTCATCCCATGGGCATAAAACCAAAACCACAAAAAATGTTTCTCAAAAAAATCTCCAGAAAGATTATAAAAGTAAAACACCCATAATTTAGTAGTTCTTTTTGTTGTTGTTGCAGGGGTCACACCCAACAGCTTCAGGGCCACTTTAGGTGGTGTTTGGGGGAAGAGGGTGTTGGTGTCAGTTTGCTGGGTTTCAAACTCAGGACCCCACATATACAAGGCAAAGGCATGTTCTCTGCCACTTGAGCTATATGCCTGGCTCTAAAACTTTAAAAGGGAAATCACCAGAATTTACTTTAAGGTTACCTAAATGATTTGTGGTGTTTTATTATAATAACAGTATCATTAAAGTATGCCAATACTACCAATTTCAGTTTATGGGTAGGAGAAAGTACTTTCTTGAGTCCTTACTATATATTACTCAGCTTACACTTCATTTGTAACATTCTCACAACATTTTTGCATGACAGGTATTATGAGCTGCATCTTTAAAATGAAAAACTGGAGCTTTTCAAAACTATGTCAGGAGAGAGAGAACAAAAGGGAATGCCCTGCCACAAAGGCAGGGTGGGATGTGGGGGGGGGGAAGGGATGGGTATTCGATCATTGTACAACTGAAATCCAAGCACAAAAATTTGTAAGTCTACAACTGTACCTCAGGGTATTTCTCTAATAAAAATTTTAAAAAATTAAATTAAAAAATATGTCAAGATGACTAGTCAAAGTGATATAATAAATAGTGAGATAGACTTTAAACTTATTCACCTCTTTTCCATCACCATTAAATCATTATTTATGTAGAAAATATTCATTTGGTGTTCTTATATTCTATTATCAAAGATGTAGCCAAGAACGAAAAGAACATTTCCCTTTATGAGACATAAAATCTATTGAGAAAACTATCTTTTGCTTAAGTGTGTACAATCATTAAAGTTATATATCACAGTCCTCTGGAACTCAAATGATTATAATTACAATCATTAGCATGCTGTATAACATAAAACTCAGTTATCTTTTCAAAGAAGAGTTCAGTTGCCTTCAAGTTTAATAAAATGCTTTTAACTTTGTTGAAAATCTTTTTTTTTAACATTCATAGTGTTAGAACTTCAAAGATTCTATTCTGTGAGTACTCTGGCTCATTGATCACTTTCATTGCTTTATAGACCAGAGTGTTTTGTGTTTATATTGAATTTGTCTTTGCATGATATTTAGACTTGCCCACATTTTGCCAACTTAGCAAAATTGTCTGCCCTGGATTATAGATGACAATTAAAGACAATTACTAAATGTCAAACTCATTTTTCCTTGATACTTAAATAAGTCAGCAATGGCCCTGTCACTGAGTAGATCAGGGCAGGAAAACCAGGGGCACCAGAGAAGGAAGAGCCAGAACTCATCTTAAATCATCATCTACAAATGATGATCCCCAGAAAGAACTTCCTGGTGGCAAATAGTACGAAAGGCAACTGGGAGAGTTTGTAGCTAGATTTTCCACAGTAATAGATGAGCCTGAGAGACAAAGGTTCATTAACAACAGCCTTACATCAAAGATCATATTAAGTGCATAGATGCTCTGGATAATCTCAAGAATCATTGGTTAACTGAAAATGAGAAGCCAGAGCTAAGAAAGAAACAATTCAAACTGGAGACAGGAAAATTTTGAATTCGGTTATTAGCACTTGAAACTGATGGAAGTAAGTAGTACAAAAGCCCAGTGTCTGAGCAAATTTCATTGCCAAAGTAACGTTTGACTATTGTAACCTTAAAAACAAAAACAAAAAACAAACTAGTCCTCACCAACTGATCCCTAAAATCTGAAACAGTCCGAAAATGGATAAAACCACTCAAGAAGAGTATCCACTGTAGATGTGATCATTGAAAATAAAGTTGTCAGTGAAATTATATGCTCCATTGACCTATGTTGCAGGTCAGGCTTTTC